TCAAGCTTTCTTTTGTTGGGTCTCCTCATTGATTATGGTGGTTTGTAAACAGGAATGTCTTACTCACGCTCCTCTGAGTGTTGCTCCGTTTTGGCTAGGTGCAATGCATATTTGTTGCACGTTGTCCACACTTTTCGTTCTGGCAAAGAGCTCTGGTCACCAAGCAGCTGGACGCTCAGGTTTGCTGTACTGTTAGAGGGCAGGGATTAATTTGAAACGCTGCGCGTCGTCCGCCTCGGCCCGGCTGTACGCGCATGCGGCGAGTGGCTACTATCTGCAGCAAGCTCTTGTAGGAAAAAATTAACAGTTGGAATCGCACTTATAGTAAAAGTAATGTTCATAGCAACACGAAGCAGGATGATTGTGAGTAGTATTAGTAGTGGTAGTATCAGTACGAATTTTGGTGTCGTCATTCCGAAACACTGGATACCAAGACTCTCGCAAGCGGCGGGATGCCTTAAGTATGGGCCGTTGAGGCTGTGGATTTCGTGGGCGTCTTGGATTAGGGTAGCATCACAGCCTTTTCAACCACGTTACTCCACGAAAGGGCGTCTAAAACAAGCCTGAGACGCACATAAAGATGCTACATTGCAGTCCCGTGTCGTCGAAAACTCCGAAAGCTCGCACCTGTCAGCGAGCGGAGGGAAAGGGGAGTGGGGGGGGCGGGAGGGGGGGGCGACTGCCTACAGAAAGCCAAAATCCACTGCGAAAATTCACCGCCGGACCTTGGGGCTCATCGACACGTTTCCATTTTTTTAGGGGGGGGGGCGGTGGCCGGATTTTGGGGGTGGGGTCATTGGGGAGGGAATTAAGAGGTGGGGAATAGGAGAATCCGAATAGGAACCTCTGACCGCTTCGGCCGGAGCCGAGGCGAATTAGTCACTTCCATCCATCGATGATCTTATTTCTGTTGCTAGTTCAACTTTCACTGCTGTCACTTCCATCCATCGATGATCTTATTTCTGTTGCTAGTTGAACTTTCACTGCTGCAGCTGTAAGTTTAAGTAGGGATGTATTTGTGCATCTCGGCTGGAGCTACAAGTACAAGTTTTGAAGGTGCGCGCCTGCCATCCTCACACCCGGACCCTTCGTTATTAAACCTGCACCTTCACCCTAAGCCCTAAACCGTACTTCTGTTGATGATATACATCCTGCAGTACCTTAATGACCCGAGACTATGTGAATTACGGCTCATATTCCTTATAATGGGAAATGCAGGATTTATATCATCAACCGTTACAGCCCCACCTATCAGACGGGTGGCTATGATCCCACAAGTAACCCGCCACCCGGACCAAAACGGGTCTCGACTCGTTCCGTGCTTGCATCAGGGCTCATAGGGCAGTTCCAGGATCAAGGGCTGGGGCCCAGGCTATACTCATATGGTTGCTTGTCAAAATTATGGCTCCTTTTTGGGTACCCTAAGTAATAGGTGCCGTATTAGTATAGGGACCCAAAAAGGCACCATACTTTTTACAACCGCTCATATCGACCATGGTAGATGAAGGCAGGTCCATAGGCCATCCCTAGACCCTGAAGCCAAAAGTCTAACTCCAAGTCCTAAGGTCCCTAAACCCTAAACCCCTAAACCCTAAACTCTCTAAACCCCTAAACCCTAAACTCCCTAAACCCCTAAACCCTAAACTCCCTAAACCCCTAAACCCTAAACTCCCTAAACCCCTAAACCCTAAACTCTCTAAACCCCTAAACCCTAAACTCTCTCAACCCCTAAACCCTAAACTCCCTAAACCCCTAAACCCTAAACTCTCTAAACCCCTAAACCCTAAACTCCCTAAACCCCTAAACCCTAAACTCCCTAAACCCCTAAACCCTAAACTCCCTAAACCCCTAAACCCTAAACTCTCTAAACCCCTAAACCCTAAACTCTCTCAACCCCTAAACCCTAAACTCCCTAAACCCCTAAACCCTAAACTCTCTAAACCCCTAAACCCTAAACTCCCTAAACCCCTAAACCCTAAACTCCCTAAACCCCTAAACCCTAAACTCCCTAAACCCCTAAACCCTAAACTCCCTAAACCCCTAAACTCCCTAAACCCCTAAACCCTAAACTCCCTAAACCCCTAAACCCTAAACCCCCTGACCACCATGTGCAGAATGCCGAGGTAGTGGTGACATTTTGGTCGTCAGGGCGTCGGACGAGGCGGCATCCCTTTCGAGTGCTGGAGGGTTGGGAAAGATTCTCAATGGCTTAATGGCATAGTCAGAGTCTTGTACGACTATTCCTCGAGGACCTCCCAAAACCGAGACCCTAACATTTATAAAGCTCGCGGGATCACGGCTTGCCTGGATTTTGGGTCTCTGATTTGGGGGCTGTTCTTGGGCTCACCGTGAGCAGAGAGTTTTGCCATAGGGTTCGCGTTATAGTTGCCTGTTTGGCCTCTGCCAAGCAATTCTCGCAGCTACCTCTTGCGAAGCGGGTGAAGGCTTTCGCGGCTGTTGGTCCGCTATGGGACAAGACTGTTTGACGAGCAGCGCAGAGTCCTTTGCATGCTTTTGTCGTTAATCACTTCCGACCAAATATGTCGATGACCTTCGTAGGCTCCGTAAACCCTCAACCCTAAATCCATAAACCGTGAAGCCTAAACCCTAAACCTTCGGGGTCGGGGTGTACACTGGGGTTTCAGCCCTGGGCCACGAGTTGGAAGAGCTGTCCCTAAACCCCAAACTCAACCTACTTGGAGGTTCATGTGTAGTTATGAGTGGGGTTATAAGTCCCCTAGGTTATCCTACTGAGAACCCTACTAAAAACTACCCATGAACCTGGTTTTCCAACAGCGCTTTGGGCTTCGGCTTGAGGTGCCCCGGAACTGCGAGCCCAACAAAGGTTTTGGGTTGAGAGCCCTAAACCCTAAACTTAACCCTATGCCCTGAACCCTACACCCTAAACCCCTAAACCCCTAAACCCTACACCCTAAGCCTAAACCCACCTTAGACCCCCAAACCCTAAACCCTGAAGAGCTTCGGGCGTAGAGAAAAGCTCAACACGCTGAAGCCCTGGGCCCCTTATAAACCCTTCTTGCATGCGTTATGGGTTTAGGGTTTAGGGTTTAGGCCTTCAGGGTTTAGGGTTTAGGGCTTCAGGGTTTAGGGCTTAGGGTTTAGGGCTTAGGGCCTAGGGTTTAGGGCTCAGGGTTTAGGGTTCCCTAAGTGGGGGATTTCGCGAATTCTAAAGCTGCAGCGCAGGCGACCGTCGGCACGGCCAAAACTTTCATGCCCCTTGGCACATTTTGAAAGGTGCCTGCATGCCTAAACCCTGAACCGTTTAACCCTAAACCCTACATGCCATAAACTCTTGAGCCCTAAACCGTTTCACCCGCGAGTTGAACTCTTTGAGGGCGGAGCCTTTGAACCCTCAACCCTTTCTCTGGATGTAGGCTTATATGACGGAATTTGGGGAACGTATGCGGGCTCCTTTGGCGAGGTGGTTTTGCGATTTTTCAGGCAGCAAGACAAAACCCTAAACCCTAAACCGTACCAGGCCCTCATGACGAGCCAGAGTGCGTGGGCAAGAGCCGACATGTTGCAGAAAGCCGACATGTTGCAGAAAGCTGCGGCAAAATCTCGGTTCAGGGTTGTAGGGTTTATAGGTTTAGGGGCATGTGCAATGCTGCCGTGTGCAAAGCTGCGGAAGAGCCGCCAGAGTGTCATGATGGGTTCATTATGCAAACCGAGGAAAGTGCGCAATAATTTTTTAGGACTTAAGAGGGACTTGAAGGGAGAAACATTTCTGTGTTTCCACTTCTAAATTAAGAAGCTGCCGCTGCTAACGAAGCTTTACCTCCACCTGTGCGTGATGCCATCGGCGCTACGAACCAGCCTCAATGTTGGAGCACTGGCCGCGAGCGGCGACTCTCTGGCAACAAAGTGTGTATTTTGGCTTCTTGGGCTCTGGGCCAAGCCGCGCCTACATTCCTACTGCTGTGGAGGGTCCGGCGGAAGGTGTATGGTTTTGGCGACCCCCATTCTGGGACCTAACAAAGCATGGCAGCGCAAGTCTGTGCAGGAGTCACATGACTGGGGCATCCATGAGGCGTTCAAGGAAGCAATGATGCTCATGCGGGACCGAGTCGCAAGGGGAGACTAGCAACAGAAACTCTACATCATGTGAATCGTTTAAGATAGGAGTCTGAATAGTTAGAGAGACTCTTCCTTTCGGCTCGTCCTTGGTATACGTGCTGTTGTATATCTTAATATACACCAACGCCCGAATCCTACTATTGAGGTCCCCTATAAACCCAAAGCCCTACTTGGAGGTTCATGGGTAGTGATAAGGGGAGTTAGAAGTCGGAGTCTCATTCGTACGGCTGCTTCATTAGAGCCCCATGCAATCGATACAAATGCAGCTATAGATACAGAAGTGGATATGGACAGAGCAACCGGTATGGAGCTCAGCAAGGAACCATTACGGGAACCCTATATACCTTCATGCCCACAGCCAGAACAGTCCGACACGAAATTGGGGGCGAAGGGTCCAGATTCGTTGGGACCAGTTGGGTTTCGAGCTGTACCTGTGGTTCCCAGAGGGTTACTCGCGGTTTTAGGGTTTACGGTGTAGGGTTGACCTTAAACCTGGCCCAAACAGCACACCTTTTCAAAGAACCCTAAACCCTAAGCCCAACACCCCTTTTCAAAGACTCACATAAGGGTCCAGGTAGGGTCTACGGGGTTGCCGTCACTACTCCTCTGGCTCATTTGTGGCTTCGCGTCGGGTTATGACCCCGCAACATCCTGTTTAGGGTTTAGGGTTTCAGGCTTTGAAGATGTAGCTTTAACTGGTTTTGATTGTGAGGGAGAGGCGGGTATACGATAAGGGTTGAATACACGGTCTTACATGCAAGGGTCTATGTGATTTAGTTGGAAAGAGTGGTTAGCTTAGCAAGGTGAACAATGAGACTGCGTGGGTTGTCGGGGATACTTGTGCACTGCCTGAGGGCTAAGCCCCCTTCAAAGGCCTGAGCTTCGATCTGCAAAGAGCCGAGGAACAACAGCCTTCTGCTCATGGTGAAGCAGGCACCGGATGCCTTCCTGAAAACCCTTATAGTACAGGGGCCTAAATAATTGCCTATACTATTTTGGGGGTTCCTTATTACAAGTAATTATAGTACAATGGGCCCCAAAACTCTTGGCCCCTATATTAAACACGAACCCGAAGCCCATCGGCACTGAACGCTTCGCCCAAGCGTCTTCAGCCTGAACCCTCAGCTGGGTCTGCCGTGGACCCGTTTTTTTGTAATGATTGGTACCTTTGTTACTACAGTAGAAGCCAGAAAGGTGGAGCGTCAATATCCTCATGGCCTTAAAGGTACAGTATAGGGGATCCCAGCACTAATCATCCTAAACCCGTGTTCCAACTTTCTGGGGTTCACTATAATTGCCCAGCACCAAAAAAAGAGCCCCTGTTAGTCCCAGAGTACCCGGGATCCTAGTCAAACCTCAAACCTAAATCCTGGGCATTTTGGATCGCACGGTTGATGATATAAATCCTGCATTACCTTAAGGACCCTACCTAAACTATGGGAATTATGGCATATTCCCCATTGCGGGTTCATGCAGGATTTATTTCTAGGTCCGTAGGTTCGCCCTTGTACCCTAAACCCTAAACCCTACCAGCTGCTGGGACCTGAGGCCGAACTATACAGCCTATATGGGTAGTTCTCTAAATCAGGGTTCCTTAAAAGGGAGCTGTAAGGGTTGCTATAGTGAGCCCCAGAAAGTTGGAACATGGCTCTAGGAGGATTAGGGCTAGGATCCTTTATACTTCACCATAAGGGCATGAGGATAATGATGTTCCAACTTTCTGGCTGCTACTGTAGAGGGTTTCCTTAAAGGTGTCTATAAGAGGTACTATTAGGGTGGGTGCCGTACTATTTTTTGGGGCATAACACGGGAGCCCTGATTAGAGAAGTATCTACTTGGACGGGACTTCGTAACTACAGGGTTAAAACAAGATAACGATAATTGAATATCCTTGTCACTACGTAAAACCGTGTTTCCTAAGTCACTAAGTCCCATGCCCCCGAGACCTTAAACCCCAAAACCCGAATATACTACGTCCCATGATCCTCAAACCCTAAACCTAAAGCCCTATAAACCCTAAACCCTATAACCTCTAAACCCTAACCTAACCTTCTAAACCCTAAAATCCTTAAATCCCTAAACCCTAAATACCCTAAACCCTAAATCCTTATAGAACCCTTTGAAGGAACCCTTAAAGGAAGCCCCAACGCCCTAAACCCTAAACCCCTAAACCCTGAAACCCTAACCCCTAAACCCTAAACCCTAAGCCCTGAACCCTGAAACCCTAACCCCTAAACCCTAAACCTTGAACCTTGAAACCCTAACCCCTAAACCCTAAACCCTAAACCTTGAAACCCTAACCCTAAAACCCTGAACCCTGAATCCCAATGCCCTGTGCAGGCTTTGAAGATCCGTGGGCCCTTCGAGGGCATCCTGGGTCTCGGCAGGCCTGGGCCCAAAGCGTCGAAGAAGAGATGCCCGAAAAGGGCTCAGGGTTTAGGGTTTAGGGGTTTAGGGGTTTAGGGTTTAGGGTTTAGGGAAGAGATGCTGGAAAACCAGGACCCCCCAAGTACCCTTTAATAGAGCCCTTGTGGCCCTTAATAGTGGGTATTTAGGGTAGAATAGAGGGTAGTTGGGGGGTCTAGGAAGGGCTCAGGGTTTAGGGTTTACGGTTTGGGGCTTGGAGTCTGGAGTTCCGGGTTTGGGGTTCAGGGTTCAGGGTTTGGGGTTCAGGGTTTAGGGTCTAGGGTTTGGGGTTTAGGGTTCAGGGTTTAGGGTTTGGGGTTCAGGGCTTAGGGTTTGGGGTTTGGGGTTTAGGGTTTGGGGTTTAGGGTTTGGCGTTTGGGGTTTAGGGTTTGGAGTTTTGGGTTGAGGGTTTGGGTTCAGGGGTTTGGGGTTTAGGGTTTAGGGTTTGGGGCTTGGGATTTAGAGTTTGGGGTTTTGGGGTTTAGGGTTTTTTAGAAATCGTTAAGGGTTGGGGCGCCAATAAGTTTTGAACGAAAGTGTTGACTGGGAGGCTGGGTTTCCGATTGCCTTTTCGGGGGAAATGGGCTGGGTTGGGGTGGGGTGCGGGGCTGGGCACTTGGGATGGGGTGTGGGGGCTGGGCTTAAACCTTAAACCCTAAACACGAGTAACACACACTACAAAATACAAGAACAGTGACATGCCGTTCCGTTAACTCCACGCACGGGTCGTCTTGAATCCTAAACCCTTTTCGATACATGCGTCGGGTAGGACCCCTAAACGTTAAACCCTAAACCCTTTTCGTTGTCTAAACTTCCATCCCTAAACTCTTTTCGTAGTAATTAGTGTCGTCGTGAACCCTAGACCCCAAACTCTTTTCGACTTACGGTATTGACCCTAAACCCTCTTTGCATTTGTTCTTAGTGTTAGTTTCCCGCGTGAACATAAGAGCAGTCATTTGACATTTTTGTGAATGCATATGATTAACTCCACTCACTTTGAGTTGATGTGTCTTCCAGAGTTTCTTTGAAACAATACTTCATATGGCGGCCCACTCCAAACTTGAACCGAATCTAAGCCCCCCAAACCCCAAACCCTAAACCCTAAACCCCCAAACCCCAACTGCTGTTATGAGGCCTCACAGGGATCGGCCTGATGCCACACCAGGCTTTCTGAAACTCGCAGGCCGTTCTTCACGAGGTTTAGGGTTTTTTGTGCTTGAAGGTTTAGGGTTTGGGGTTAAGGGGTTTAGGGTTTGCAGGTTTAAGGGTTTAGGGTTTAGAGTTTTTGTGCTTTAGGGCTTAGGTTTTTTGTGCTTTAAGCATTCCGGGCCGGTTGTGTAGTTCAGCTCTAGGCTACTGTTTCGGGCTCGGATTTCATCTCTTGGTGTTCGGAGTGTCTAAGGTCCTAGGCTGCAGCATTTGGGTTTCCGGGAGCGCCCCGCATACACAAAGCGTTGTCGCAACAAACAAACGCACAGCAATGTCTGTGACTTGGAAGCTATTTGCTTGAATCCAAACCTTGACAAATTTTCTCGGGTTCAGGGAAGAGTTTTTATGTGCGATTCGCTGCAAACTAAGGAGGCACATATGAACTCAGGAGTTCACAGGCGAGCGGAACCCTGAACTCAAAGCGATCCTCAACGGAGTAGCAATGGGTTTGGCATGCGTTTCATCGGGAGGCTCAAGCTGTTGCTCTTCCCTAAAATCTAAACCGCTAAACCCCTAAGCCACTAAACCCCTTATCCCCAAACCCCTAAACCCCTAAACCCCTAAACCCCGAAACCCCGAAACCCTAAACCCCTAAACCCTGAACCACAGTACAACGGCCCCCGGATTATTAAAGTTTCACCCCACAGGCTCTCAGGATTCCATCCGCGGAGCCCTGTTATGTAGTGGCCTTCCTTTGACCCAGGGTTTTGGGGGCTCATTTTTTAGTACAGCTATAACCAGCAACCCTAAGGAATAATGTTTGTAATTGCTTAGTATAACTATAACAGGTAATCCTAAGGAATAATGTTTGTAATTGCTTCGGATCCGAATTCCATATTAGACGGCATTGTTTATCGGCCTGAAGATGGTTTTGCATGAACAGCACTCAGGCTTCCGACTCCCCTAAGCCTAGGCATCTAAGGACTCATATATTAAGGCTTTTGGGCCCAAAGACCATATTATATAAGGCTTTTCGGGCTATGTTGATGCCCAGGGTAACACTTGCTTGATGCTGAAATACGACGAACTGCTTAGTTAATCAGAGGCCTTTCGGACTGTATGTGCTTTGCCTTTAGTAGTTTGCTGCCTTGGGGGTTTTAGATTCGGCTTGTGGGCTTCACTTTTTCGCGCCATTCTGCAAACGCAGCGCTAGGTCCTGAAACAAAAATCTGGATGCCATGACCAAACACCATCCCAAACCCTGTGTAAACCCTTAACCAGTCCCCCGGTTTCAACCCCTAAGCCGTCCCCAAAATCGCCTTGAATATGGCCCGTGTGGAAAATGACTGCACCACACCGAAGGTTGCTCGTGTTCTACCGAAACAAGACATGCAGAGCGTGACATGCAAAAATTCCAAAAATGACACCTTGCTAGCAAGCACAACTTAGAGCCAAGACTGTCGCACGAAACGTAGTTTATAAAACATACATGAGGCAAGTACATTAAAAGGGTAGAGGACGAGGATGGACCCTCCTCCTTCCGGCAGCGAGGAACCTTCCGCAGAGGTGCGTCGGAGACCCAGGGCCCGTCGAACGGTCCGCAGGACCACGGCGGCTAAGAGCAGAGCCACCCCACAGGAGAGCCAGACTCACACCTACGAATCCGCCGTGCCTCGCGCTTCCCGCATCGCAGCAGCTGTCGCAGCGTCACGATTTTCCGGCGATGCTGGTCGGAGCGTTATCCGGACCCCTGTCTGTTGGGGGGTCCGTTGCACGCTGTATCTTCACCTCGACTAAGAGCTGCGAATTCGCGGTGCGCGGTCCAAAAAAAGGTTTGCGCGAGGGCGCCTGGGATCGAGGGGTTGCTCACCAATAGCCGCTATTGCTGAGCAGCTGCCAAAAGATGGGTTGCGAGAATCGGATTCATTCGCAACAACCGATCGGTATTGCCAACCCGACCAGCCAAAGACGAATTCCGTGATGTGGAAGACACACGGCGAGATCACTACCATCTGAAAGTGCGCTGCCTCCCTGACGAGCAGCCAGGCACAGTGCAGCTGCTGCTTGACCTTCCTGGTCCCTGTTCTGATTTTTTAGCTGGCAGGAAGATCGGAAGATCGACGCGCACCTTGGTGCCATCCACGTGGAGCGAAGTGCATCATCGCGCTTGCTGAAAGCTACCCGCTTGTGGGTGTGGTCCGTGGTACTTCCCGAGCCCTCAGCTGTAAAATCAGAACCTTGTACCCTAAACTCAAACCCGGAACCCAGCATCCTGGAGCCCAGGCGCTACACCCTAAACCCCAAACCCCTGTTTCCCAACTCCACACCCTAAACCATAAAGCCTGAACGCCTAAACCCTGCACCCTAAACCGGAACACTATGCCCGACGCCATGAAGCCCAAACCCAAAATCTTAAACCTTACACGCGAAATCCTAGACCCTTAACCCTGCCCACCGCCCCCCTCCCCCGGTGGTCCTAGAACCCCTTCTAAACCCTAAACCCTCAGCGGCTGGACCTTTCCAGGCATCCACAGGTTCTCCATGTGCTTCAACGATGCTGGTCCAGGCTCGCTTTCTGTTTCTACAGATGAGCCGAGACCTTCCAAATTCCCTTAATTAAGGAATATGGGAGTTTCCGAGAATACAGGACATCTTGTTTTGGGGTCCTTATAATAAGGATCCTACGATTTAGGGTACCATATTACGTAGGTCCCCTATTTTCGGAAACCCCCCTATGGCTTGAATTATAATGGGACCCCTAACATGATTTACAGTATATTCCTTAATTAAGGTATTTGGAAGGTCTGGGAGGTTTCAGGGTTTCTATCACTGGGCTTGGAGTACCATACTTTAATGCTTTTTCTGGGACCTGTTACTTAAAGAGAGCCCTAAACCCTAAACCCCTACAACCTAAAGCCCCAGTACCTAAACCCCTACCCCCAAACCCCGATTTAAAAGGACCCATTATGAAATAAAAGTTTATACTAATACCCTTAGGGGGGGTAGGGGGAGCGGTGTAGGGGACTATATTTCCGTAAACAGGCCTTACTAGGTCCTTATTATGCGCATTATGGCCCCAGACCCTCCTGATGATGTTTTTTCTCCCTAGTTACTTCAAAGTCCAGATCAAGGCACTGGACGGCCAGGGTTTCTCTAAGGGTTCTTCAAGGGTTTAGAGTTTAGGGTTCTTTAAGGGTTTAGGGTTCTTTAAGGGTTTAGGTTTTAGGCTTGTTTCGGGGTTTAGGTTTTTGGGGTATACAGTTTGGTCGCGAAGTGTTTCTACAAGGCTTCCAAACGGCTCGGGGTTTCCTTGAAGGGTTTTCTATAAGAACAACCTTCCTATATGGAAATATTAGAAAAAGTTTCAATGAATGTAAACCTTAAACCCTAAACTTAGAGGTTCTGGGGTTCCTTGGAGGCTCCCGAGTTTCGAGCTATATTAAGGGGCCGCAGTAGTTTGTTTGGCGATAGGGTTCCGTGAAAGGAAAAGGTGTAGTATAAACAGTCCCTAAAAGGATAGAAATTTTGGGTTCAGGGCTGACGGGTCATCGAGGGTCCCTACAGCCTATTATAAACGGTTGCGACATGAATTACGTAGAGTAGTGTTGAGGTTACCTTACACCCTATAACATAGTATGCTTTTTTTTCTTCTTGATTAGGCCCCGACATTTCCGTGCCAGGCGTGCTGGGCCTGAACATTCCCCGCTTTTCTCCCGGACTCCAATCAGTGGGAACCATGTCGCCGGGCTGTTTATAGGTTTTAGGGTTTAAGGGTTTAGGGTTTTAGGGTTGAGGGTCACTCAGGCTTGGGGCGTTCGAGCTTTCGAGATTTGACTGGGCCAGGATTTCCTAACCGTACACCCCTAAATCCTTAAACCCCTAAACCCTAATCCGTGATGTGCAATTCAAGGGCTGTAAGACTTCCGGGGCAGCCCTTGGCTTGTAGGCATGTGCGGGGCACGTTATCTTGGTTATTCATGTTTTTTGAGGGGGTCATGGTTTTGGTCGGTTCTTATCGACGTTTAGCGTGTTTCTTGAGCTGGTTCGGTGTGAACCGGGAAAAACAAGGTCCAAGTTAGACGTGAAACCCTTCAGCCATACAGTCCCATGTCCTTAAGCCCGACAGTCGAATACCCATGAGCCGTGCACCCCAAACCCAAAACCTAACACCCAAGCTACTATACCCAACAGGTCTTACTTGCATCGGTTTTCCAAGTAGACACACTTTGCAAACCAAATGAGGAAGCCAAATTCCCAGACCTCGCAAGTGCTAAACTCTCTCGCTTCATGAAGCTACACCTCCAAACACAGTGCTGCTTGTCAATTTCCCCTACGACAGATCAATTCGCAGAAGCACCCCAAACCCCTTAACCCATGCATCAAAAGTTTGAGGGGGGGGGGGGGCGGCAATCCCTGACCTAGCAATCCAAGCCCTAATTATTTGGAATTTCATAGGTAGTTTTAAGCAGGGTATATCAGTAGGGTAAGGACAAGCGAGAGTTGTTCTAAACTCCCGCCTTTTGACCATAGACTAGCAGCGCACTTTTTGAGGGTTTGATACAGGTTTAGGACCTGCTCCCGAGCGCAAGGGCGAAGGTCCTGCTCCTGCTCCTGCGCTGCACTACTACTACTGCTGCGACTGAGCTACTGCGGCTGCTGCTGCCGCGGCATCTGCTGCTACTACTGCTCTACTACTACTACTACTACTACTACTACTACTACTACTGCTACTACTACTACTACTACTACTACTACTGCTGCTACTACTACTACTACTACTACGACCACTACTACGACTACTGCTGCTGCTACTGCTACTGCTACTGCTACTGCTACTGCTACTGCTACTGCTACTGCTACTACTACTACTACTACTACTACTACTACTACGACTACTACTCCTACGACGACTACTACTACTACTGCTGCTACTACTACTACTACTACTAGTACTACTACTACTACTACTACTACTACTACTACTACTACTACTACTACTACTACTGCTACTACTACTACTACGACTACTACTACTACTACGACGACGACTACTGCCAGGTAAGTAGTCGGAGCCGCACAAGATTAGGGTTTTATAACTAGCTTTATAACCCAGGTTAAAGTACTTCTAGCTGTACTTACTAAGTCTTTAAGTCCCATGAACCTCCAAAGACTCTCCTGAGGCATTGGGGGCTCGACTTCCGAGGTATTGGAGCACCTTGGCTACAGTTTCAAGGCGAAACTTCGCCTTACAAGTTCGGGCTTAGGGTCTTCACCCGCCAAAACCTGTTTTTGGGAGTATGGTCCGAATAAGCCGGGTACCTTAGACCCAGAGACCCCAATCACAAAACATGGCCTATATGCGGTCACAGATCGGCAGGAGTTGTTCCGTTACTCCGAACTTGTGTTTCGTATTCTTGGGCCTTGCTGAAAGGTGGTAAAAACCTGCCTGCACTTCTGCGATTCCTCTCGTTTGCTTACTGCTTTGTTGTTACCAGAACGATGGCCGGCTCACCCAATGCGAATATGCTTCTTCCTGCGGCGATTCGCACCAGCACGACCAGCAGATACCAGCAGTATAGGCTTCTGTTTCTTTTCAGTGTCACAGGGTGGTTGTTGCGACTGATTAACTGGTGGCGAGTTAGAGTTCACCTTATTACATTGACGGTCTTATTATCACTAGTAATTAACACTAGTATAGTGATATTAAAACTGTCGCGATCCGTGTTGCCGATTGCTGGTTCTATTAGTGGACAAACTCCAGCATGACCCCTAGGAATCCCGGCCACTCCCACAGTGTCGAACACTTGTAGTTGTCTATCAGTTGGGTGGGGCTTTCGTGCTCAGCCGCCTTTGCGGCAGGATGGCCCACCGATGTTTTCAGACATCTTGATCTTGAGTTTTTCTCGGGAGCAAGCTGTTGCTGACGTTGTGAGTCGGATGACCGTGATGTGCGGCCTCTCCCTGTCATTGTCGTCGATATGACCCTTCTCTTTGTCATAGTTGGGTTACGTTTTATATTTTTATGGGTACTGAAGCCCAATAAGGACTCAGAACTTAAATTTTTAATCCTATCACAACCATGAACTAGTTACTAGTTCTTTCAGCTCGTGCAAACTTCCGCTTTTGACAGTTGCCGATCTGGCTCTTGCTACTGTTTCGATTGTTAGTTCAACGGCAGTTTACCACGAGCTGCCTGCCCCATTCAAAACCAGTGATCTATATATATATATATATATATAGATAGCTCTAGATACCTTTTCGTTCGGTTCTTGCTGGTATCCACTCAGCAGTCATGCAGCATCATGTTGGCAATCCTGAAGCCTATGCTACTTTGCAGAGCAGGGTGAATCCTTTGCTAAGCCCTAAATCGGGAAAAGTCTGGGTACACGCGTTATCCGATGGCTCAGGGCCGCATCATCGTATTTCCCACTTAGGGCTTGGCATATCTCTTTATCTGTGATTTGCAGAGTCAGAAGGTATACCGAGCGCGAGTCACAGAACCTCCCTTGGCCACAAGCTCCCTGACTTAGTAGCTGACTGGATACACTGTACACTTTTTGGGATAATATCACCCACTATAAAACCAAAAGTGTACACTCTTTTGGATAATATCACACCCACTATAAAGCTAAAAGTGTACACTTTTGGGACCTTATGAACTCAGCAACTAAGGATCCCTATCAGGAATCCAGTTTGTAGCTCCCGAGACCCTAAACCCTAAACCCTGAAAGTGTACCCTTTTTGGGGCTTATGAGCTCAGCAAGTATAGTAGAAGCCAGAAAGTTGGAACATGGCTTCAGGAGGATTAGTGCTAGGATTCCCTTATACTTTACCTTAAAGGCACGAGGATAGTGATGTTCCAACTTTCTGGCTTCTACTATAAGCTGAGACGAGGTGGGTAGCGGCGACGTCCGGTTGAACATGTGCCAGAACAAGACTCCCGGTATGGACTGCCCGGGTGGGTGGAGTTCCCTAAACCTCTTGACCCCTAAACGCCTAAACCCTAACCCCTAGAACCCTAAACCCCTAGAGCCCTAAAGCCCTAAACCCCTAACCCCTACAACCCTGAAGCCCTAAACCCTAAACCCAGAAGGTTCATGGCCAGAGAGGCTCCCTGAATCAGTTCGTGCGTCGAAGGGGGATTTGGCGAGTTTAGTGTTCCCGAAACCCTCAGACCTGAAAAAATGCCCCAATCACGGGGGATTTGGCGAGTTTTGTGTTTTAGAAATCCTCAGACCTGAAATCCTTAACCGACTTCCCGAAACACGCGAATTTCTGCAGCCCCAAAACGCCACTCCACGCCCTCAACCATCCTGGTCTTCAGTCCGTGGCCCAGTGCCCACACAGGTTTAGCGATGTTTGGCGTTTAGGGTTCCCCAGTACTGTAGCACCCTTTTGCATAGCTTTCCTTTTTGGGTTCCCTTATTAAAGCCAAATAGGCTGGCTCTAGAATTTTGACGTGCGTGATTCAGGGTTTAAGGCGGGGTAGTAGGGTTGGGTTTCGGGTTTAGGCTTGAAGCATAAAGGGACCCCAGTAATCATTGGCATTGCTGCTCAGCAAGGGTTCTAAACACTAAACCCTAAACCCTAAACTATAAGACTTCTTGAACAGCCCCCTCAGAACCAGATTTTGTAGAGCAGTAACGATAAGAATAATAGTCGCAAGACTCATCACCATGATGATATAGGACCCCTTCAAGAGCCTTTAGAGAACCCGGTTTTGGGGGTTTAGGGTTTGAGGTCTCGTCTAGAACATCTTATGACTCCTGCATAATCCCACGTACATAGCTCCGCTGCGATCCACCTTATTCTCTGAGCCCTAAACCCTAAACCCTAAACCCTAAACCCTAAACCCTAACCCTAAACCCTAAACCCTAAACCCTAAACCCTAAACCCTAAACCCTAAACCCTAACCCTAAACCCTAAACCCTAAACCCTAAACCCTAAACCCTAACCCTAAACCCTAAACCCTAAAACTATGCTGGTTTGGGAAGTTCAGTCTTGGGTTCAGGTTTGAAGGTCCAGCGTTTCGGGTCCAGGCTTTTCGGGCTTTTAGAGTTAAGGTTCCAGGGGTCAGCATTAGTTTAGGATTCAGGCTTTAGGGTTTAGGATTCAGGCTTCAGGGTCTAGGTTGAAGGCTTTAGGGTTTATTTCCGGCTTTAAGGTTTGGGACTTCAGGGGTTTAGGGTTCAGGGTTTAGGGTTTAGGATCTCAGGCTTTAGGGTTTCGGATTTCGGGTTTTGGGGCTTAGGGCTTGGCTTGTCGTGCGTGCTCCGACAGGACAGTGCCTGTGGCATGATCCCCGATTCAGGCCTTCTGACAAGAGAATGTCGACTTGAGGGGTTCAGCAGCAATATAGGGGCCGAAATGAATAGCTAGTGTTCCGTTTAAAGGGATCCTTACAGGGGTCTTTCAGGGATCTATAATGGGGTCCTATATAGGGGCTTGAATTTCTACCAATACTATTTTGGGGTTTCCTTATTATATCTATAGTATAATGGGCCCCAAACCCTATTCTCATTATTAAAGCGCCCTATACCAGGCTGTTGGCATGTACTGTAGAGGTCCGATTGACTAACATACCGTGGTGTAACTATTCCCTGGACCCTAACAAACCGTTTGCGGTCCGCTGTTATGGTTTCCTTCTAGAAGTCCTTAATTACATATTACCCGACCTTGTGCGCACATTGTGTTGTCGAGGGATTATACCGGGTCCCTTGTTGCTCGTGTCGTCATGGAAAAGTTCTGCATTTCAGGGTTTAGTAGATTAGGGTTTAGGTGATTAGGGCTTATAGGGTTTAGGGTTTAGGAGATCAGGGTTTAAAGGGCTTAGGAGATTAGGGCTTATAGGGTTTAGGGTTTAGGAGATTAGCGTTTATGGGGTTTAGGAGATTAGCGTTTATGGGGTTTAGGAGATTAGGGTTTATGGGGTTTAGGGTTTCGGGGATTAGGTTTTATAGGGTTTAGGAGATTAGGGTTTAGAGGGTTTGGGAGATTAGGGCTTATAGGGTTTAGGGTTTGGGGGATTGGGGTCTAGAGGGTTTAGGAGATTAGGGTTTAGAGGGTTTAGGGTAACAGATGTCAAGCGCATGCCAGGCCTTGATCGCACAGCCTAACCCCTGAATGTCGCATCCTCGACCCTCGAGTTCAAAGGCTCCTAGCATGAAGGATCATGGGACTTAGTAACTGGGATTATTACTAGGTTAACTACACTCATAATGACTTATAATCCAACTTGAGGTGCTATATAGCCATACTTACTAAGTCCCATGATCCTCTAAGTAGCATGAAGCGGCGTTTCCATTGGTGCCCACGGAATGGTCTAAGAAACGGCCTGCCACGTTATCCTGGATCCCTAACCCCCCAAACCCTATGAGCTAAGCCCCAAATCCAAGACCCCAAACAGCAAACCCGATAAATCCCCAAAACCCTAGACCCCAAACCCTAAAACATAGGTTTTTACACAGATCTAATCAACCTACAGTATGTTCTAAAACAAGCCTATGTTTGTTCTGGAAAAACCTATGTTTTTTTGTAAACAAAAAACTTGTAAACCCCAGACCCCAAACCGGGTGTAGGGTTTAGGGTTTAGAGTAGCGTTTACAAGGCTCCCTCAAGGGATCTATAAGGGACCTCTGTAAGGGTTCGATAAGGCTGTGCGTGTGGAAGTTGTAAGTCCTCAAGCCCATACAAAAACCCAAAACTCGAACCCTTGACCCCAAAGCCCTCGCCCCAAAAACCCTAACGCCTTAAACCCGAAACTTTAAACCCCTAAACCCTAAGCCCCTACCAGGACCCCAAGTACCCTTTAATGGAGCCCTTATGGTCCTTAATAGTGGGTGTTTAGGGTAAAATAGAGGGTACCCTTGCCCCACAATCCCAATACATTAGGATCCGTATTAAGAACCCTAATAAGGGCCCAATGTTTCTTAATCAGGTTCCTACATTAGACCCAGGCCTAAAACCCCAAAACCTACTTGTGCCATCTTGCCCTCAGGCTCAAAATGGCCCAAAAGCCTTACATAGTATGGTCTTTGGGCCCAAAAGCCTTAAAATATCAGTCCCTAGATCCCTAAGCCCTATAGATCCCTTTAGAGGACCCCTTATAGATCCCTTTAAAGGAGCCCTAAATGGGTCCTTAGAGTCGTTGGGTTGGTGGCAGGAACGACGCTCATCACCGGCCCCTGCCTCTGAGGGACTGTTTGTTCTTGAAAAGACCATGTCGACAGGGACTCCACGATCCCCTCATTACCACGGTTGATGGTATAAATCCTGCATTACCCCATAATAAGGGATCTATAAGGGTACCTTTAAGGGGCTCCTTTAAGGGATCTATAGGGCTTTAGGGTTTAGGGTTTGGGGATATAAATCCTGCATTACCCATCATAAGGAATATGCCATAGTTCCCATAGTTTAGGGTCCATTAAGGCCATGCAGGATTTATATCATCAACAGCAGGACCCCCCAAGTAGCCTTTAATAGAGCCATTGTGACCTTGAATAGTGGGTATTTAGGGTAGAATAGAGGGTAGTTGAGGGGTCTAGGTAAGGAATATACTTTAGGCCATGTTAGGGATCCTACTATAGTTCAAGGTACTTATATTCCTTGATTGAGGGATTTCGGAAGGTCTGGGAACTCTCTGTTCTTCAAAAGACCAGGGTTTAGGGTTTAGGGATAGGGTCGCACGATTCAGGTTCCCGCGGGAGGGGGTATCACAAAGGAGCCAGGCATCCTTGCATCACGCCTTCTACAAGGGTCCTGTAAGAACTAAGCAGTTCGGGTCCGGGTTTTCATGTAGGAACCTAATTAAGAGAAACCCTGGCCTTATAACCCCAAAATAGTACGAGTCATACAATGAACCCTAACAAAGGCCCAAGGGTTCTTCATCAGGTTCCGACATCATCAGGGTTGTAAGGTTTTCGGGTTGTGCTAGATACCATTTGGGACGTTTTTAAGCTTTTAAGTCTGTCACCCCTGATACTCTCCCAGACACTCGCACTGAGCTTAAGGATCTGCGCTTCATTGCCGATATTTGGTGATACGGTACATACTTGTATGATATGCTGGCTGTAAGAAGTGCATGGCTGAAAAAGCCCTGATTTCAAAATCCTGACAGAATGCACGGCGATTGCACAGACGAGTTTTCTGTAAGCCCTAAACCCTAAGCCCCTAAACCAACACACCATCCGAACCCAGGTCCCAAAGCTGACATCGCGAAGCTCTTCGACGGCATCTGCGACCTTTGGCCACGCTGCAAGGAGATGCATACAGCCGGGCGGCCGAGATCATCTAGGATGCCCAGTAGTACCCTTATTCCCTTTTTGTAGTCCTAGGTTCCTTATAAAGTTACCCAATACCAAAAAGAGAGGCCTTTTTATTCTTAGGTTACTGGGTATCCTAGACTGCCTTCACCTCCAATCCCCAGCAGTAGCTGCAAACCCCCAAATGGGAGTTTCCGAAGATTAGGGATACCTTATTTTGGAGTCCTTATAATGAGGATCCTACTATTTAGGGTACTATATTAGGGTCCCCTATTTTCGGAAGGCCTCCAAACCCTCCAACCTTCAACACTTCAGGATGCCAGGGGCCTCCAGCTTGCAGTTTCACAGATGAGAGAGTTTAGATCTTCCGCTACTTAGGGCACTGATCCTAAACCACAAAACCCTAAAGCCCAAACCCCTACACCCCAAAACCCTAAACCCCAAAACCCTAAACCGTAAGCCCCTAAGCCCAAAACCCTAGGGCAGTAAGACTTGATGGTCTGTGCAGAGCGCTGCAAAGTGATGGGCCGCCGAATCCGTTGGGACCCGGGGAGGATTCAGTTTCTTAAACTTAGTAGACCCTAGACCTTACTTGGAGGGTCGGGGGACTTAGTAAGTAGTTATTATATAGACTTATAAGTACCTTAATAGGGACCCTAATTGGGGTTATGGTACTTATAACTCTATAAAATAACTACTTACTAAGTCCCCCGACCCTCCAAGTATACCTAAACCCCAAAACCATGCTAGACCTTAAACCCTAAACCATGCTAGACCTTAAACCCTCAACCCTATGCCCTAAACCCTAAACCCCAAAACCATGCTGAACCCTAGACTTGGTAGCTGAGTAGGGAACCTTTAACCCTTTGGGGTTGATCTCATCCTACCATGGTTGAAATGGTCAATCCTCCTGGGGCTAGGTTACTCAGCCCCTAAGTAAAGGATCCTAGGACTTAGCAAGCAGGGTTATAAGTACCCTGATTGAGATTATAAGTACTTAGAACTATAGTTACCGTATTTGCATCCCTAGTTACTAAGTCCCATGATCCTCGAAGTTGGGTCCAGGCCAGTGCTTACATGACCGCGAAGGCCTTAATACCTCAAGACTGCGAGCATACAAGTGGGTGGTTGTCAAAATTAAGGCCCCTTTTTGGGTACCCTAAACAATAGGAGCCGTATTATAATAGGGATCCAAACAGGGACCATAACTTTGACAACCACCCATGGGGAGTTAGACGACAATGCAATCATCGGCTGCATCAACAACACCTTGCAGCCGTGGTGCAAAGTCTTCTTGAAGCTCATGACAGCCGCATCTTTAGCGGATGTAAAAACTCCAACTCCACATTTCAAAGCTCGAAGAATCATTTCAGCGCTTCTTCTATGAAGGCCCTGGCCTCGGAATTCCGCCAGATGAGGCGAAGGCGCCGGAAGGGCTTTTGACAACTTTCGAGGTCTGGCATGGGTTCCTTTAAGGGTGCTTTAAGGTTTCCTTTCAAGGTATGTCTTGGGTCCTGGGTTGTTTTAAAAGGGAACTTCACGGGCGGCTCCTTCAAGGATACTGCAAGGCAAACTTTATGGGTTCGTTCAAGGTACTTTCTGCTTTGCTTTGGCGGTACTTTGTTCGGCACGGAAGGCGACCGTGGCCATATTAGCTCTATACAATGGCATAGCATCAGTGAGAGTAGCCACGGCAGCAGCAGCAGCAGCAGCAGCAGCAGCATCGTCCTCGTCGTCGTCACATAGGACATAGGCAGCAGCATCAATAATAGGAACGTCACGCGCGAAGAGTCCTACTGGCATGTACAAGGAAATTGCCACTTTTGTAGGACAACTCAGGCATGCGTACGTATTCGGCACTAGTGTTCGCAGTGCCCGTGTCGCTACGAGTGTCAGCTATAGCACTTTCGATGTGACCAGCAATCCGACGACCGCGATGGTGACTACGATGACGATGACGTCGCGCTGCCGTTGCGGCTAGTTTAAACCCTATGTAAACCGTAAACCGGTTTAATGGTGTTTGGGTTCTGATGGGGGAGGAATCTCTTGGGCTCAGGCCTGGGCGAAGAGGACAGCGATTCCAACGAATCCGTTCGATGTTGGAGGTGGCTTGCAATCTGGTTTAGGGTTTCTTTGGTTAAGGGGTTCAGGGGGTTAAGGTTTAGGGGAGTTGGGGCTTCGGGCTCGATATAGGGATTTAGGGTTTCTGGTTTTGGGGGTTTAGGTCCTTAGATGGTTAAGTGTTTAGTCTGTAGGGGTTCGGGGCTTAGGGTTCTAGAAGTTGGTGTTTGGGGTTTAGGGGGTTTAGGGTTTGTAGGGTGTAGGGTTTTGGGGCTTAGGCTTCTTAGGGCTCTAGGGGCTCATAGGGTTTAGGGTTTCAGGAAGTGGGGTTGAGGGGATTAAGGGGTTTGGGGACTAGGGCTTTGCGAGGTTAGCCGTTAGCGTTGCAGGGTTTAGGAGGTTCAGGGATAAGGGTTTTTAGAGTAGACTTAAACCCCGAAGCCAAGATTTAAAGTTTGAAGCCCTGAACCCCGAAGCCGGGTAGGGCACTGACTTTAAAGTTCCTCCGCTACAGCTCTGAGATCTTCTCCACACCGCCGAGGTTCCAGAGAGGTCCATCGCCATCCCCAGCGGAGACACTGATCAAGCCAGAGCCAGCTGCTGAGCCAGTCTTCGAGACGCCTCCGCGGAACAAGAGAAGCCCAGTGGACGGCCACTGTTTCACTCCGCCGGCTATCTTTCGCTTCCGAAAGACTCAGGATGGGCCAACGACGCCTCAGTCGTGTGAGATCCGCGAGGTCTTGGGCAGGTTGGCGGAGACAAGCGCCACGTCAGACCTGACATGGATGAGCAGCCCATTGGCGTGCATCTGGTGGACCTCGACAGCCAGGTGCAGCAGCAGGTGCTGGCCATGTATCACATGTGCCTGGTCGTACATGCTCCACCACTGAAACAGGGAGATCAGCGGAGGACGCTGGAAGGCGCGCTCCTACAGCCGATAATCGAGCAGCTGATTCAACGATGCATGGAAGACTTCCACAATGAACCCTTTCAAACTCCTGTAGAACACTTCGTTCACAAAACTCTGCTAAACCTAAGCCCCGGACCCCCACTTCCCTAAACTGGAATAGGGTTATAGGTAGGATAGCAATGGTTAGAAACTTATATCAGGGGACTTGTACCGTAAACCCTAAACCCCTAAAACAGAATCTCCGAACCCCAAACCCTAAACCCGCAGACCCCTAAACCCTAAACTCCGAAGCCCAAACCCCAAACCCCTTTACCCAGAAAGCCGTCCCCGGAGGCCGGCAAGCCCCTGCCAGAAATGGTGGAAGTGGAAGAGCATGAAGGCTTGCACGTTTTTGGGGGGGATCTGGGAGATCTGGGCTTCAAGGATGGGGATTTAGGGTTTAGGATTGACGGATTTACGGTTTAGGGTTGTGGTGAAGACGGGAGTTTCGGGTTTGAGGGTTTCTGGGAGTTTTCGTGGTTAGCATGTTGGAGGTTTTGGGGCGCTGAGTAAGTACCAGGTTTTGGGGGAGTTCGGCCTTTGCACTCCGGCCGGAAACCCTGCAGTGGCGTTGGATATTGCCGCAATTCAGTGAAGTTGATTGCTATTTAACAAAGATGTATTAAGCCCTTTATAGTAGCCCGGTTCTAGACTGTTACTGCATGGGGGAGTACCCAATCTATACAGCGTAAGACTAGTAAACCACCCTAAACCTTAAACCCTGGCCTGAACCCCAAACACCACGCATTGGAGGCTTTGGTTTCGGATTCCATGGCATGTGCTACAGGCGATGCTCCAGTCGGACTGGCGGACAAGGACCGACATAGGGATCTAAGGACCTAGATCCCCAATACCTTTCAATTCTGCGGCTTATTGGGGTAGTAAGAGAAAGAGTTTAGGGTGTAGGGTTTAGGGGGTTTGGCATCAAGCGAGGGTTTCTTCAAAGGGGATTCAAGAGCACGTTTAGGGCTTTAGGGTTGCGGAGGCCGGAATAGTTTTCGATAGTATGTAGCCGCTTATAAATTCTAGCAATACTACTGTATATACTGTATACAGCCCAAAAAATGAAGAACCTATTGCTCCCACAGTAGGGTCTACTTGGAGGTGCAGGGTTCGGGCTTGCAGGGGCAGGCCCTGAATCCGCCTGCTAAGCCGATCCGGTGTCCCAAGCCCTGCAACCCCAAACACCCCGAAGCCTTTGTTTTACGATTTAGGGTTTGTGATTCTTGCAGCTATCCATGCAGAGAGGGTGCAGAATTTGAGAATACATGTTGGATGAGGGTTCTGGATTTTTGGCATTAGCCTCTTGTGAATGGAAAGTGCACGAATCTCGCCGACGGCGCGAAAGAGCAGGAGTGCCGATATCGTTGAGTGTGGCTCATCGAACTTCCTAGCTTTCGGCTTATTCATTCCTAGCCAGGGTGTTGTATGCAACATCGCCTGAGGCGAAGCTTCTCAAGAGACTTTGGTTGCGATGTATTCAAGTGGCGGCTTCGCTTGATGCAAGCTCGCCAGCAGTTGGCCATCGGGGCAACATTACTATAGGGGCCTTATGAATAATTGCCTACACTACTTTGGGGGCTCCTTATTATAACTATAGTATAATGGCCCCCGAAACCTTATTAACATCATTAAGGCTCCTATATTAATGTCCGGGATATCCTTCAAGTTTCTAGCTAACAGCTACTTCACCGTAATCGCCAATCGCAGCCAAAGAGATTAATTAATGTAGGAACCTGATTAAGAAACTTTGGGCCTATAACCCCAATATAGTAGGATTCATATAAGTAACCCTCATCAAGGCCCATGGATTCTTAATCAGGTTCGTACATTACACTTGAGGGTGTGGCAGCTGTGGGCTCGCGAACAACATATGAAGGGTGAAGCACCTCTTCACGCAGTGCGGGATTGCCTTCAGAAGAATGGGCTACGGCAGTGAGACGGAGAAGCATCCCCTTGAGGTCCTGTTTGCATGGCTTGGGCCATGGCATGATTACGTAAGCTCAAACGATTTAAAGCGAGCTAAAGCACGGCGAACCCTCGCCACCACAGCCTTCGAAAGAGTTTAGGGCGTAGGGTTTAGGTTTTGGCCAACATCTCCAAAGAAATCTTGAGCCCCGAGTTCTGATCTCTCAAGTAAAGGTGTCCGAACAAAATCAACGCATATTGTTTAATGATCCTCCCTGGTTGTCCCGAATAAGCTTTTGTAGAACTTATCCCAAGACCCTTTTCTAATTATTAAGGTCCCGATACTAGGCCCTACAGCCCCTACACATAGCACTGACACCAAATTAGTTTATTTGCTGGTAACTATATTCCTTTCCAAGAACCCTGATGGAACTAAAGGCACCCTAATTTTGGCAAGGTAAGTTCAGCTACTTGATAGCCTTAACTAGGTCTCCCAGTAGATCCATGTCTTACGTTTTATGGTCTAGGATGTTTCCTAAAGCTACCCATTTTTTCCTAGGTTGTTGGGGATCCTCGTTAAAAGAACCCTGAAGTATATTGAATTAAGTACAGTATAGCTCAGTTCCTTCCTGAAGTACCTAATAATCATATACTCTCCCAAGTAGTAACCTACATAACTATTATCCGAAACCTAAGTACCCAACTATTGGGTCCTTTGGACCCTTAGGAATACAACTTGGAGGATCACGGGACTTAGTGACTGGGGTTATCACTCGGGTAACTTCACTCATAATAACTTATAACCCCAACTAAGGTACTTATAACCATTTCAAATTTACTAAGCCCCATGATCCTTTCAGTAGAACCCAGAATCTGATCGGCAGGACATGATCACAGGAGATGCAGAGCTTCCTCAGGCCGAGGGGCTTCGGGACTCGCGATTGCAGGTTTGTGTAATGGGCTGGTTTTGGGATTTTCTAGGCGTTGAAAGCGGCACTATTGGTGAATAGATTTTCGGAATTTGGTTTGAACAGGATTTTATAGGCATTTATGTGGCTTCGGAGGGTTTCTTCATAGGGTCGGGGGTTTAGCGAGCAGTGATTCTGTCTCTTGGAGATGTGGCATGGGTGTCTAAGGTGTAGGGATTTGGAGTAGTGTAGCTCTGGCTTGTTCGGGTGTAGGGTTCAGGCTTGGGAGCCGTGGGATGCCATGAACGGGGCCTGCGTGCGTAAGGCCTTGGGATGCAGAGTACAGGCTGAGGTTCCACATTTCGGAATCATCGTGCAAGAATGAAGACAGCAGGTCGGGCAATGGCGAAACGGAAGGTCATTGGAATGGCTGGGGAAGGCAGACAACCATAAAATAATTGTTGCACCCAGCAACAACATATAAAGCATCGACGGCAACCCCAGACTGTGCCGCCAACCACTGTATGACTTTGTCTTTGAGGGATGGGCCGGGGTGTTACATGAAGTCTAGGGCCAGGGTTCATAAGAAGTCGGTTTAAAGCCTGGTGTTGCTTGCTGAGCAATCAAACGGTTTTATTTTAACCCCTGCTGAATTGACTACAGAGGTCTGAATAATCCTACATGGTGTTATTAAATCATCTACACCCAAAACCCTTTTGTGCTTTTGATGCATGGGAAGTAATTGCAACCCGTAAACGAACCCAGACCCAGTCCCGTGCATTTTACTTCGAGCGTGAGAACCCAAGATGTCATGAACGAACCATGACTTCGTTGCCAGGGTGTATCGAAAGCTTCGACGATGGTCTTGCTGATGAAGCGGATTACCTGCAGCGAAGTGTTTTGATGGCTGGTTTAGAATGAAGGATTTCGAGTTTAACGTGGTTTAGGATTCGATGAACCCGTAAACCCTAAACACTTAGCCCTAGGGCATCGCAGTTGCGAAGGGGGTGCTGAACGGTTTAGGGTCTTTGGATCTAGCTCCAAAGCCGCAAAACCCTAAGCCCTAACCCCTAAACCCTAAACCCCGAGGCCCTAACCCCTAAAGCTTGCTTCAGACTTCCGCGGTCTTTTTTTTCCCAGCAGCCCAGCTGGGAAGAACGGCCGGCTCAACAGGAGGTATGTACTGTAGGGGCCTAAACAAGAGGTAGCCCTGAAACCCTCATGTAGGCGACTTAATATGTAGAATAGGGTTCCGTTAAAGGGTCGAAAAAGGGTACTATAGTATCCGGGGGCCTGAATAAGTACCAGTACTGTTTTGTCATAAGTCTTAGTATAATGGGCCCCAAACCACTTTTCTACTTTTTCAGGGCCCTATAGTATGCATGTATGTATGTAGGTATAGACAGATCATCCGTACATGGATTTGCTTAGCTTGGCTTGGGTTAGGTTATCGGTTAGTTTAGGTTAACTTGATACGTAGGTAGGTAAGTGGATAGATAGATAGATAGGTAGATAGATAGGTGCAGAGTCTCTAAGCACTCTGGCCGACTCCTTTTGCCGGGCGCATGGGTAGGTTATCAGTAGGGTTGTAAGTAGGAGAACGCTTATATCAGGGGACATATAACTCCAATTATAACTACCCCTAAGCCCTAAATCTTAAGGCCCGCATGTAACCCCTTAATTAAGGAACATAGCTTAAATCATAATATGAAGCCCTGTATAGTAAAAACCATTTCCGTAATTAAGGGGTATTGGGCTCTCTGGGCACCCATGAACTCCAGCTATCCGACTAACTTTCCTGGGTTCATGGTGATGTGCTGCACGAGTTTGGCCTAAACATAGTAGCGTCAACTCACGTCCTGCCGGTAGGAGACCCAAATCCTATAGGGCTCTAGGGTTTAGGATTCATGCTTGAGGGTTTAGGGTTTAGGACTAGGCTTCATGGTTAAGGGTTTAGGGTTTAGGGGTTTAGGGTTTAGGGTTTTAGGGTTCAGGGTTAAGGGTTTAGGGTTTTAGGGCAAGGTTTCAGATGCAGGGTTGAACCGCGATGTGTTTGTTTCCCGTGTCCGCTTCTGCTAAAGGTGGTCTTTGCTGACGTTTTGGAGTGCCAGGGCCCTTAAGCCTATAGACCCTGAACCCGAAACATCCGAAACCCTAAAGCCTTTCCAAATCCTGAAACAAGTCTAAAACCCTTAGCTTTAAAGGCCTAACGTTCTGCAGCCTCGAACCCCGAAGCCTTAAACCCTAAAGCCTTAACGGCCAAGCAGCTTAAGCGCCCTACAATCTAAGACGGCGACCTACAACTTCAAACACCGTGATGCGAAAAGAACATAGTCAAACCTTGTTAGAAACCCCCAGAGGCCTGGAGCAACCTGGAACCTTGGAAGCTTGAAGAATGATCTTTTTGCCCGTTACACCCAAGACCCTAACTCACCGCCTAAGCCCTACTCAACGGATCGTGGGACTTTAAGCAAGGTTGCAAGTACCCTAATTGGGGACTTAAGTACTTCTGACTGCAGTCTCCATGGTAGTTCTTGTTTTGGGTCACTCCTACATATATAACTGGCTACACCGGAAAGGGAACTTCAAGGTAGACTATGGGCAACCTTTCTTTGCACTCTCAGGCATTGCTACACCTGGCTAGGCGCGCACGGCCTCGTGGAAGCTTGGGTGTTGTGCTCCGTCCTTCGGATGTTCGGCTATGATGCAGCGGTCTGAAAATTCAAACCATTTCTCTGAGAATCTCAATAGAGTCAATTTCCACCCTACTCCAGTCGTTCGGGCCTCTTTAGATGCTGTGGACTTTAGGACCCCTTTACGGGACAGAACCCCTATCAAGGAACACCTCAAGGAACCTTACAGGAACCCTTAAATGAGCCTTTAATGGGGCTGGGGGTTTCTTCAGGCTTAGGTCTTCGGTATAGGGTTCGGGTGTTTATGGTTTACGGCTTCAATTTAGGGTCTCTCAATGACTTCAGACTCCAACGCCTCGGAGCAACCTCGAGTTCTCTTTAGGGTATAGGGTTTAGAGTTATCTAGGGCCTAGGGTGTAGGATTTACCCCGAACCCCAAACCCCTAGACCCTAAACCCTATTACATCAATGTAATGCAGCTTACAGCAACAGTCCCATCATGATGAAGTTTACCTGCAACTGTACGGACCTGTGGTCCCTTTGGTGGTGGCTTAGATAACCTGGAAACCCTGATAAAACCTTATCCACACCTCATAAAGTCTTCCATATCACCCATTCATGATGACCGGCTCAGTGACTCATGGAACCCATAATGACACAGGCGAGTTGCTCGCGGGCAACTTGCCCCGTTTCAGATTCCATCTAGGGTGTGCATTGGGCGTTCCTCAGAGAGCCTTACACAGTCTGAGGTCGCAAGAGCGGAACAGGTTCTGTAGCCAACTTGGCCTGACGTACGTGCACTACAATATGCTACAGTGTGCTTCCTGTTTGCGTCCTCTCGAGTCCTCGCGTTCCAGCTTCGCCCTCGGGAAGGGTTCTCCCGGCTCGTGAACTTCAGGGGCCTCACATTGATAGGCGACGAGAACGAGCTGGACGAAGTCGTCCCTAAACCCTAAACCAAACCCCTAAACCCATAACCCCTACACCCTAAACCCACAAGACAGGAATAAATAGAAATTGCTTGTCTTTGTTTGTAACACCAGCCGCGGCAAATCAGCTGGGTTCAAGAACGGAGCAAGTGTACCGATAAACCAATTTCTACAAAACCCTCACAGGCTTTTTGGCTTGTTCCAAACCCTCAAATTTGTTTTTTTGCCTTTTCCAGACACCCTCCTTGCCCCCAATTTTGGCTGTGTGGCCTTTTCCAAACCCCCTCCAAGCCCCCAAATTTGGCTGTTTTGCTTTTGCCAGGCCTCCTCAAAGCCACCAAATTTGGGCTTTTGCCTTTCCCAAACCCCCTATTTGCGTAGGTGTTCCGGGGCGTCCTGGGACCGATTCGACAAGGAAATGACGACTCAGCCGGAATCGTACTCAAGACTTAGGCAAGACGCACTCCCCAAAAGGAGCTCGCACCCGTGCGTGTTCAAGCTGCAAACGTAGTGGCGCTGGGAGCTCCGTCGGGCGCACCCTCCCGCGAGCCATGCAAACCCAACCAGCCCCCCAACCCCAGCCCCCTCCCCCCCGCCCCAGCCCCTTCCGCTCGTCTCAAAATCAAGTTTCAGTCGGACAACTTTCGGTCAAAACGTTTCGGTCAGAACTTTCGGTCAATTTGTGTTTTACATGCACGCGTTTATTTTAAGTAGGTGGTTAACGAGCAAGTGAAGCTCGACCACCGACGCTTCCAGCGGCGCATTGCTCAGACGGCTGCTGTGTTTTGCGACAGCAAAGTAGATGTAACGGAAACCGCAGCGGGATGCATGACATCTTCAAGGTGGAAGCGGCTCTGCACGGGGGGTCCTCGGCGAGTCGTGCTCCCGAGAGAGGTCGAATGGGAGGGAGGGGAAGCCAATCGGAGCGATGGTGCACAAGAAGTAGCGTGACCCTGATTGTGAGGTCCGGTGTGCGCAGTTGCCGTCACAAGGTTTTGTTACATGCCATTGGGTGGCGTGTGTTTTGCAGCCTAATCTATTATTGTGGCTGTAGGCACTCCGATTATGGCTCGTCAGGCCAGTTGTTTTGGATTGCGCTAAGGGTGCTCGTGAAGCTGTGCTGGCGCAAATTAGGTGTTGCGTGTTTTTTCGGCTGCCACCGGTCAGGTGCCTCCGGCTGTGGGCCTGAGCTTTTGGTGTACGCGTGCCTCCGTGGTAAGCTTTGTTGCCGATGGGCTTGCTCAGGAGTGGTTTGGCAGGGACTCCACCCCGGTCGCTGCCTCTGTATAGAAGTACGCATACACACATGCAAAGCTCCCGGGCATGTACGTGCATGCGTGCATGGAAGTCTACGCTGCCATGTTCGCGAATTAGGCCCGCGTTCGTATTATGCGGGATGTCCTTCCGCGTCCTTCCCTCAGCGCCTCTGGATGAGTTCGTCGTTGTTGGAGGACCTCGGCTCTGTGCTTGCAGTTAAGCCCTTTGCACACGCTTGGAGTATTCATGATGCCTGTTAGGTATGCGATCTCTGCAGTCTAGCGATCGCCTTCGGTTGTTTTAGTTAGGTCCGCTTCCTGCGGCGTACCAAGCGCCAAGGTTGGTGTGCTGGCACCTCCACTCGATTTGACGTTCTGTGAGACACCCCCTTGTGCTGCCTGCAGGGCTGCGCGCGCCCCTCCCAGAGGCTCCTCCTTCAGAAGTTGGGCTTGCGAGACCAAGTGCAATGACTTCACATTCAGGGACAACGCCCGTCGCACCTCGGGTATGGCATACTCCCAGCCGCGCGAGACTCGGTGGTTGCGTAGCAATGGCTTTGGACGCTGTAGTGCGGCTTAGCTGTTTTGTTTGGCAAGGTGACCGAGGGCACCCGACACGCACTCTGCGCTGTTTGGTATTTGGGATCTGTGTTCGAGCATGACTGTGTTCCTGCTGCACAGATCATCTTCACCCGCTCCCGCTCCAGCCGCGAGGCCCCCCCCCTCAACCAAACTCAAAATGTGGCTTCAAAAGAGGAAACCTGCCCAAAACGTTTCCTTCAAAGCTTTCCCTCAAAACTTATTGGCACCCAAACCCTTAACAGTTTCTATTAACCCCTAAGCCCTGAACCCTCAAGAGCAGGATAAATAGAAATTGTATGAATATTGCCTCGAACTGCATTTTCATTAGCTTCGAACTTTCAGTGCATGTGTGGGAAGAGATCCCAGCCCAACTCCAAACCAATATCCAAGCACGCCCAGCCCAGCCCCAACCAGCCCAGCCCACTTCCAAAATCACAATTTCAATACAAGAAGCAAACACTTTCGGCAGAATCAAAATTCAAAACAAAAAACAAAACTTTCGGTCAAAATTTTCGCTCAGCTCAGCCCAGCAGCCCAGCAGAGGGCAGGCCAGCCCAGCCCAGCCCAGCCCAGTCCACCAGCACAGCCCAGCCCATCCTAGCCAGTCGCAAATTTGTGTTACTTCTTGGTTTTGTGGCTGTTCTTGTGTTGCTCGTTGGCTTATATCTTTTGGTGTTTTTTCTGCTCCTCGTTGTCACGTGGGCTCCAAAAAACACAGGCACTTGCCTCAGTAGTGGGTCTGGGTGGTGCGGGCGCGGGGTGGGGGCAGTAGGGATGCTGTGCTTTGGGTGTGCTGAAGTCGGGCCGATGAGTGTGTCCTGGGTAAGCCGTGGCTTACTGTAGGGGCCTAACGAATTGCTTACTTATGCTACCTTGGGGGAAAAGGGCCCCAAAACCCTATTCTAATTATTAAGGCCCTAATATTACAGAGACGACGTTGAACGCGCAGGCAGAGCCTCCTGAAGTTGGATTCCTGTTATGACAGCAAGACACGGGGTTTAGGGATTTGGGTCTTTAGTTTTAGGGTTTTTTAAAGCCCTCTTGTGAGTATCGTTCATGGCACCGCTCTTGTTGGTGCAGTTATTGCCATTGCTGTTGTTGCAGCGATAAGTCGTCTTGATTCAGCCACAATATAGACAATAGACGGTTCTTGTACGCATGGGTTCGATTTGCAGCGCGGACTGCCCGCGGTACCAACATGTACTTACATCAGGATTCCTGTCTGCTATGCAGCCCAAACCGTTCGAGCCCAGGTCAAACAAATTAAGAAGCAAACTCGAGCAAACTGCCCAAACCAAACTCCTAAAATCCTAAGCCCCGAGCTCGAAACCCTAAGCCGTTATGCCCAAAATGCTGATACGCAGGCAACAGCAGTGACCTCAATGGCGAGTTACCACCACTGAGTTTCCATGTAGCGGGTACAGCCGGCTATCAGGAGACGTCCTTCGGCTTGATCTTCGTTACGGTTTGGGATTGGGGCTTTAGTATTAAGCCTTAATAAACAGATCGGGGTTTTGGGGTATACTCTGGCAAAATCAGATGGGAACGGCAAAGGGATACCGTTATTTCACCGGTTTGGTTTGAGGTGTTGGGTTTTTTAGGAGCGGCTTCTGAAGCTTGCTAACGGCCCAAGAGCACGCATAGTGGTGGCCGGTGAGATCTAACCAAATCCAAAACCGAACACGGGAGAAAGCCCTAAACTTTCAGGGCGTCGGAGCATGGCACTACAGGGTGTTGAATGAACCCTAAACCCTAAACCCAGATGTGTGCCTAGGGTGTAATCTTCGTTCACAACTCGGGTTTCGGGTTTAGTGTCGGTGATGGTGTGGTTTACGATGCAAACCCGGGATCCCGAACAATTTAACTGCCCAAACGTTAGAGCTTAGGGTTTAGGGTGCCCCAACATGGCGGCCATTTCGTGGCTTTTGTACCACGTTCTGCGGAGGGCGATGTTCAAATGCACACATGCCATGTTATAGTGGCTGCTGCTCGCCTGAACTCAAACCAGTATGCCGTTGTCCATCGACATTCCTAATTCCTGAACCTGGACGCTCAACATCCTAAACCCGCAGATCCTAAACTCCTAGAGTCCTAGACGAGGACACCTCGGAGCCAGGGTTGTTTAGGGTTCAGGGTTTAGGGTGTGCGGGCAGTTTGGGAGTTTCAATTTGTTGAACCCAACATCTACCAGGACCCTTGTTAACTATAAACAGTGGGACCCTTCGTATTGCACTGCGAAACTTCTGCGCATGCTACGGGACGCCGCCAAATTTGTACACCGATTGGAAACGGCACCCGCGTACTGTTTGCGATTTCAATGTCAGTGCTTTATTCACTGATGCGTGGTGAAGGAGTCTACCGGCCTGGCGCATTCAGAATATTCGTTATAAAGCTTGCCCCCGCTTCGTCACACCAGGGATGTTAGATGTTTAACATGATACTACTTCCAGGTTGTCATAGCGGAACTGTTGTCATTAGGCTTTAGTCACACTCGCCCCTCAACATCATCGCGCCAGCAACTACGAGTCCACGCGAATTCGTTTGTTTCACTCACGTGTCCTATCCGTTCTCGAGTCAGAGTGCCGGTTGCCGTCACGAGTGGGTGAGCTCGTCATTGCTGTTGTAAGGTTTAACTGTACATCTATGTGGTTTCGAAGCTTGTTCCCGGATGTTTTATGTACCATAACAGAATATGTATGTCCCCAATTGTTATTTCCAGCACAGCACGCAAGCCCCTGATTACGGGTTCGGCTGCACGACCAAATATCATTTAAGCTGCGTACCCCAAGTTGAAGAAATACGCTCAATGCCTGAGAGACTCGACATATTGTACCGGTGGCTGAGCCGACAGGGTCAAGGGCTGCGGGGCTTCAAGAAGGTTGTGTTGGGTTTTTCGGGGTTTATTGTATGGGACTTCGGTTTCATGATTTGCATTTTCGGTACAGGTTTGGAAGGTTAGGGTCGGAGACAGCGAAGTGTAAGGTTTGGGTTGGCATTAGGTTTTCGAGGCTGCGCATTCCGAGTTCGAGGGTGCTGTCCTCTAGTTGAAATTGAAATGAAGGTAACAGGTAATTGCATACGAAGTTATGGAAGGCAAGTTTGTGACTTCCAAACATCCCGCAGACCACATCTTACGAACATCCGGGACTTGTAGCCAAGGAGCTTCTCGAACTAACGGGTATCGGAATTAAGTGCTGGAGCACTTCGGGATGTGCATCTGCAATGCTACTCCTCAGCCTAAACATGAGAAGTGCTCATATACAATGTGTGTTGCATGCTTGCACAATGCATGAAACCTAATACATCCCTGTTTCCACAATGGGACACAAACGACACCCCTGAAAACCAATGTCATAGCTCGTGAGGCTAGTGCTGGAGCCCAACTCCTACGTGTTCATGTCCACGGCGCCCATTGCTCACCAGGCGCGTAATTGAGGGCCCAGATCAGGGTTGAGACCCAAAGACTCCGAAACATGTTGATCAAGGAAATGTATTAAATTACACGGGAATCCCTGTTATGATTGGAGGCGTATTTCTGAATAAGGGGTTTCGGACACTGGGGTTTAGGAATTAGAGGCGCGTGGTTCGAGGTAAGGCGTGGGCTTGCAGGTTTGGGACGGTAGCCGTTTGGGTTTAGGGTTTCTGTGTACGCAGCTTAAATAAAGCTCCAGATGTACCACCACTGGGCTGCACTGAAAAGTAGAGCATTCCTGCGTCGGTCTTGATGTTCCTTTTTCCACACCTCAGCCAAAAGGAGCCCCATGTTTGTTCTTGCGAGCAACGAAATCCTGATTCCCGCATGAGCCAAAAGAAAAAAACCTTCAAGTTTCAAGCATATCCGTTGGCAAATGGGGACATGAATCGATACAACCCCCAGGAAGAGGAGCAGCAAAAACTGAACAACTTAATCACAAGCTCCCCGGTGCTCGAAACCTACACGACGAAATCTGCACACCTGAAGTAGATTTAAATGACCGCCGACCAAGGTGGTTGAACATTTGATGGGCTACTTGCCCATCGAAGTCGTGACAGTGACTCAGGAGAATGTAGCTGGGTCAGCAAAGCCCAGGGAAAGTCTCGAGATAGGTTTTAGGGTTAAGGGTTTAGAGTCCCGAAACCCGAGATCATAAAATGTTGCTGTTGACAGTCGTGTTGCTGATGATGCCCAAAGCCACGGACAGTGACAGAGGTGGTTGTCGTTGTTGCTGCCGTCATGCCTCAGCAAGGTCTTAGTTCATACTTTTGTAATGCCTTGTCGCTCTTGTCTCACTTGTTTTCTGAATTGGTATTGCGGCGGCTTCTGCTAGTTCTGCTGCTCCTCTCTCTCCTGCTCCTTCCCGACCCTAAACCTTAAACCTCCAAACCCCTAGACCCTAAACCCCTAAACCCCCAAAGCCCAAAACCCTAAATCCTCAACTGTAACCCCCAAGCCCCAGTGCGGCATGGAGGCCGGTTGCCTACGTCAGACTCACGGAATCCGCTTCCGGTTGTCGGAAATACGCGAACCGCTAATATTGGAGTTTCCGAAAGTAGGAGAAACCGTATTTTGGGGTCCTTATAATACGGATCCTCTATTTAGGGTACCAAATTAGGGTCCCCTAATTTCGGAAACTCCCGTGTCTTACCTTGTGTAAGGACGTACATTAAGAAGTCTTAATTACAAAGGTATGTTTATCAGGGGGAATGTAGGCTTGCCTTAAACGGCCATAGAATACTGTGCTGTAGGATCTGGTGAGAAACCTTGGTAAAGTACAGAAGTTATTGGGACCCTCTAAAAGAAGTAGGTTGTGGTTCTCCTTCGGGGCTTGAGGATGAGGGATCAGGGTTTCCGTCTCCGCAGCTTGTCGCGCAGGCGGGTTTAGGGTTCAAGGTTTAGAGTTTACTGGGCTTTATGAAATACAAGTTAATACAGTTTTCTCCCTGGTTTCTTAAAAGCGCAGTTTAGGGTCTTTAAGCCGATCCGGAGCCCTCTCGTCTCAGGGCTTGGGCTCTTTTCACAGAGGTCTCTGGCTTCACGGTGTGTGCTGAAACGAATCCCCTAAGCACCATCATGTCCAACAGCCCTTACAAATTCATTTCAATACCCTACACTTCCAAGACCAGCAGCGCAGATAAATCCTCAACGCTCAATCCCTCAGCCGTCTGCTTCTGACCCCAGATCCCTCAGCCAGTAAACTCCACACCACAAACCATAAAGTCTGCGTTCTAGCATCTAAACCTCAAATCCGACACCCCATGCGCGCCATTCCCTAAACCACAAATCCCTCAACCCAAAAACCTAAACCCACTGCTTCTGAGGTCTGCATGCCAGCCTTTAGCCCTCTCCGGTACAACACGCTGAAGAACGGCAGCTTGACGAGGGACTTGGAGGCTTCAGGCCTTCCTAGGATGCCCAGTAGTACCCTTATTCCCTTTTTAAAGGGATCTATAAGGGTTCCTTAAAGGGATCTATAAGGGTTCTATAAAGGGTTTAGGGTTTCCGAAAATTAGGGGCTAGGATGCCCAGTAGTACCCTTATTCCCTTTTTGTAGTCCTAGGTTCCTTATAAAGTTACCCTATACCAAAAAGAGAGGCCTTTTTAGTCTTAGGTTACTGGGTATCCTAGCTTCAGAATCGAGGCTTTAGGGTTTACCTGGACCTTCCTTTTCGGGCTCCCGATTATGATTTCCTTATATAGGTCTTGAAAAAGGTAGCTTGTTAGCTTGTTTAGGCCTTCATGATTTAGTCTTCTCCGCCCAATCCCTGGTGTCTAAGCTGTTAGTTTGGTCCAATCTTAGGGTTTTGGGCTTTGGGATGAAACCGTTTACCCTGCATCCTCTTTGCAAGTCCTTAGAAGCTCTTGTAAAGAAACTGCGAAGCCCTGCATGGCCAACTGGACCCCTCCCGTCACGGTAAGAAGAAGAGGCTGAAAACCCTAAACCCTTAAACCCTAAACCCCTAAACCCTAAAACCCCCCCCTGTCACGGTAAGGTCCGATTTGGATCATGGGCACCCCGCTCTTCTACTCCTACCAGGTGCAGTACGACCGGGAGCCTGAGACGCTTGGCTTTAGAAGGTAATTATAAACGGTTTAGGATTTAGGATTATAGGGTTTATGAAGGCTACTAGAAGGCTTATATAGCGGGACGAGGGTGGCTATGAGGTTTAAACAAGTTATTCTGTAGCTTTCAGGCTTGCTTTCGCGGTTATATAAGGTAACAATACTGGTTACTGTAGGGGTTACATGAGACTTATCCTAAGGTAACCAGGGTTGCAAAGGTATCTGTTAGGGGTTTGTTGTCAGGGTCTTATTGGACTATGGATTTTGAAGAGGTGCATCGTGTTGCTCAAACGGCTCTCGTCTTCCTTAGGTACAGGGCCTTGGGTGGGATGTCTGGCAAAGAACCCCAATGGGTCTTGTGATAGAAATCGAATTTTCGGGTTGTAGTGTGTGCGGGTTTTGGTCGGGTTTTGGAGGTAGGTCTTAGGGTTTTATGGTTCCTGTGTTTAGTCTTCTGACGGCTTTGCTTCAATCTTGAAAGCCCGAGCCCAGTGCTGCGTACGGACACCCGAACGATTAGCCCTGCCACTCTACACCTTGAAATGCCGCAAGCTCCAAAGCACGAAGCTGCGAGGCCTCCCACCATGCACTTTGTGAAGGGAGGCACGGATTGCTCCCTTAACCCGGAACCCTAAACCCTAAGCCGCTTGGGACGGGCTTCAGGCTTCAGCTTTTTCCTGGTGATGCTGTTTACGAGGGATTCGCTTACGGCTTTTCGGACGGTTGCTTTGGAGATTCAGAGATTCAATCCCTAAACTCCTAAACCCCTAAACTAAACCCTGAACCCTAAACCCTATTCAAAAGCTCCGAAGGTGAAGGGGTTGGGTGTATCATAGCCGTCTCCAGGGACGAAGGGCTACTGTCTAGTTCTTAGAAGGGAATGGGGGGATGGGTTATATGGAGACTATCATTGGGGATTGTATAGGGACTACTATACCCCATTCCCTACTAAGCACCAGGGAGTTGAGTAGCTGAGGTTTCAAGGCTTCAACCCTTAAACCTAAACTCTAAGTTAGGGTTTAGGGTTTAAGGGGGACCCTAAACCCTTTAACCCGAACCCGAACCCTTAATGATGTTCTGGGATCGGGATGTATTTAGGGTATCCTTCCAGGGTTCCTGCAAAGGAACCCTTGAACGGAGCCCTATTATAGAACCCCTTTCATACCCTCATGGCTGCCTTGCTCGTGAGATCTTCGTTTTTTTTGCGAGTTTTATGGGGGTTAAAAGGGGATGTCGCTTCTTACTTCCAGCGCAGAGGTCGATGAACTGGGCGTTGTCCGCCCTTTCAAGAACTTCAGCTCCCAGATCGTACATTCCTTATGGCAAAGCCAAAGCCCCACCAGTTTCAGCATCCGACCGTACGCGGAGTTAGGAGTTTAGGGTTTAGGGTTTAGCAATGTCAGGCGATTAGAAGCCCCACCAGGGCACTTACAACCCTACTGACCTCTAAGTACTCAAAGCCTGAAGCCCCGACGGTTTCCAACCACCATCCCCAAACCCCAAACCCTGAAAAAAACAACCAAGCCCTATAGACCCTGAACTCCAACCGCAAACCTTAAAGCCTAGACCCAAAAATCCAACTCCCCCCTCAACAACCTAGTAGCTGCGTACGTAGCCTTTAACCTCTCGGGGTTCTTATAACCCTACCACAATAGAAAAGTTTAATCTTTGTAGGGCTAGGGTACTCAGTCCCTAAGGAAAACAACGCCCACAAATGCCCTAAACCCCTAAACCCCTAACGCTAAACCCTAAACCCTAGACGCCATAGATCCCTTAAAGGAACCCTGACAGCACCCTGTTAAAGGATCCCTAAACCCCTAAACAGGCTGCACCAGCTGCGTGGACGGGAAGGAGGAGTAGCTGGGACAGCACAAAACCCGAGAGCCCTTTGGGGCCTGGACCCTCTACCTTTTTAGGGTTCCCTAATATGATTTCTTTTTATAAGTCCTTAAAAAGGTAGGTTATTTGGGGTTAAGGTAGTATGTAGGGTTCAGGGTTTAGGGCTTGTAGAGGGCTTCAGGGTTTAGGATTTCTTCTTGAAGCCACGGTTTTGGAGACAGTGTTAGGGGTTTACGGCTTAGGATTTAGGGGTTACGCTTTAGGAGTTTAGGGCTTAAGGCTTCTTGAAACCACGGTTTTGGAGATTAGGGATCCTTTGGGGTTCTTTTAAGGGGGCCTTTAAGTGTTCCTGCAAGGGTGCCTTTGCAAGTTTTTATAGGGGGCTTAGGGGTTCAGGTCAGGGCTTTAGGCTTTGAGGAAGTAGGGTTGAGGGCATATAGCGGTTCCTCAACCAGGTTTCTTCTGGAGTGCTGGGGCTGAGGATGTAGTTTAGCTTATCTAAGAAGGGTTATTAGGGTCCTAAAGTTTTGAGGGTTGGGTTCAGCGTTTTGGTTTGAGGATACTGAGAAGGAAGGATGACTTAAGGAGTGTTCCTTAAGGAGGGGATGTTAAACCCTAAGCCCTAAACCCAAAATGTCTAGCCAGCTTTTCCGGCAGTGCAGCGTTCTTGAGAGTTCTGGGAACAATCGCACTAAACCCGGTAACCCTAAACCCTAAACGCTTAGAGCCGCTGTTCTCAGTGCCGAAGGAGGTTAAGTGTTTAGGGTTGCAGCAGTAACCCTGAAGGCTAAAGTTACTACAGCTCTAAGACGTTGGATCTTTCAGAGGCTCATAAAAACCACCACCGTAAGCTCTAAACCCTCCGAATCCTAAACATGTGAGCGCCTGATGATAAAATCTTCATAACCCTATTCAGCCCGAAAGCCTGAATGCTTGACCTGGCTCGATTCAAGGCTCCTTTCGTCAAGTCGATGCTTCAATACAGGATCCTGCACATTCAGTGGCACCACGCCTCGTAAGAGCCCTGTTCTTTGAATTTTGCAGCATTATTCTATTAGGCTTAATCCTGAGGATTACCGGTTTTCCGGAGAGTTTCTTATAACATATACCCAAAAACCTTTTACTCTGGTTTGTAAGGCCCCTTAGTTATAAGACACCCTAAACCCTTCAAACCCTGGTTAGGGTCCAGGGTCTAGGAGTCTAGGGTACAGGTTGGGTACTGCCCCACACAATAACAGCTAGAATCTAGTACTGATAATATTCATAATATAGATATACTCGGACCTTAATTAATAGTATCCCTATTATAGACTGTTAGTGTATGGGGGCAGTACCCGAGCTTTAGGGGTCTTTGGGGTAAACCATACTCTGATAAATTGGGCTCCTCAGTTTAGGGTTTAGGGTTTCGTAGTTCCGCCCAGGCCCACGACCAAGCTGCTTCAGCGCAAAGTGGCGCAAGGCAGCTTGGCATTTGGGTGGTTGTCAAGATCATGGTCCTTTGCTGGGCTTAAATATATAAAGAGGAGCGCCCCTAGGGCAACCGGCCTTTATTCTAATACGGCACCTGATGTCTCAAAAAGGGACCCTAGTTTTGACAACCAGCCATTCAGTAGTTTCCCAGCTTATCCTTTTCTGCGCTGCAGCGTCCATTGGAAGTCTGAAGCAGGTTTGCTTCCTGAACCCAGACCTTCCAAAATCCATTGTTCAAGGAATATGCCTTAAATTATGATTTAAGGCATATTTCTTAATCAAAGGATTTTGGAAGGTCTGGGAAGCACGAAACCAGCCCTAAATCCCCAAAACCCTGAACCCGACCTGGACCCCCAAAATGTGCAGAGTACTGGCCTTTTTCTATAGGCCACCAAGTCAGGAATATGCTGTAAATTGAAATAGGGTCCCTAATGGTCTGTGGTCTGGGTAAACCCTAAAACCCTTTCTGGCTAAGGTCTAGCCGTGCGGCTGATGGAGGGGTTTGGGGTTGAAGTTTACATCCCAGACAGGGCTGGTGTTTCAGATGTTGGGGTTTATCGCATGTACGGTTTAGGATTTACAATATAGAATTCGCTAAGGGTTTGGGTGCTGGAAAAGGTACTACTACTACTACTACTACTACTACTACTACTACTACTACTACTACTACTACTACTACTACTACTACTGCTACCACTACTACTACTGCCACTGCCACTGCCACTGCCACTGCCACTGCCACTACCACTACCACTACCACTACCACTACCACTACCACTACCACTACCACTACCACCACCACCACCACCACCACCACCACCACCACCACCACCACGACTACTACTACTACTACTACTACCAGGACGAGCGAAATTTGTTTCTTTTTGGAACCTGATCTCGATTTTGGGGCCGCAGGGGCTGCTGCCTCAAGTGGTTTGAACTGGGATCTGGCTGGAGCTGGGGGGGGTGTTTTTTCGCAGGCTAGGGGCTGTACTTGCTGGTTTAGGTATTCCGGAACCCCCCAAGCACCCTTTAATTGAGCCCTTATGATTCCTTATTTATAGTGGGTATTTAGTGGTTGGGGGGTCTAGGTGTAGGGTGAACTTTCAAAAGCATGCAATATCTATTTACCATACAAGCTATATAGGAGGATACTGATCAGGATAACTAAACATGTTGGAGCCTCGGATTGCCAAACCCAAAACCGTGCCAAGGTATGCGCACACTGACGCATGACCCAGTCGTCGCTCGGCTGATAGAACCCTTCTGCCCGAGTTTGCGCCAATCAGGGTTTACACGAACCGGGTGAGAGTTGGGTGTTCCGGGGTCATGTCCACAACAGGAGCACAGTTTCACTGGGATTGTCTTGGAGGGCTCTGAACCCAGTATTTGCCGGGTCTGAGCACCCCCAAAGCTTCATCATTTTAATCCTAAAGCCCTATACCGTCAACCGTCAACCGTGGTAACCGTGGTAAGACTCGAACCCCCCGACAGGCCCTACACCCCAAGGGCCAAAGTGCCCCAGGCTCGGTGTCCGTAGTTGAGACGACTCAGGTGAAGCACATCAATCCAGATCTGCCTCTCTGAGGGCTTGAGTCCTCTTAATTGAGCTTTGTATCCGGTTTCTGGATTTCTTTGGTAGTTTCGTTGTTTCTGGCACAGGCTTGTAAGTTCAGATGATGCAGGAT